CAATTAGCCCCAACGTTTTACCTGAGAAATCCCAGAATTCCTAAACGATACTGTATCACCACCACCACCACATCTTCATATGCAGACAAGGCAGAACCATCATAAGAAGAAGCTGCTCCCCCAGTGAAACCTCCTCCATGAATCCAAACCATAACCTGTGAATAGCAATAATAATAATTGTTAAGTTCACTTATATTAGAAATCACACACACACCCACTACCAGTCAAAGTATTGGAAACTTTTTCATTTATGTTTCCTCTATGGACACAACAAAATCCAGGCACTCCAAAAAAGTAAAAGCCACACAAGGGAAAGTATAGTTAAAAGACCTATCTAACGACGCTTTTCCTCCTAAGACTTTTACTTTTTTGGAGTAACACATATGTTCATGTCCTGTTCTAAACAAAAAATTAATTCTTAAGTAAAAGTTGTTTCAGATTTTTTTTTTTTTTCAAATAACCACCCTTTGCTTTTACCACTACTTTACACTTCTGACATTTCTTGGCAGAGCCTTGCAGTGACAACCATTTCATGTGAATTCATCAAAAAGCTAATTTAGAGAAGGCCAAGGGTTTACGGTCTGCACAGCAAAGCAAAGGCTGGCTACTTGTGCCGTGTTCCAAAATAAAAAGTGTTCTTGGGGCGCTTCCGGCTCCATTGACTCTGTTTCCAGATGACTTTACATTGGAATATTGTCACCCGTCTCTGTAACTGCTGCAGTGAGCCTCGTTATTTTGGTCTTAACATGTTCGTATTAACCTACTCCACATGATCCTGGTGTTTTTATTGAGCTATTTTGCCTGTAAATAAATTCCTAATATGCAACTCAGCTCCAGATTCACCCCTGTAACCGCTACAGTCACACTCCCTTAGGTCACTTCTTTATACACTCTAGGAGTAAACCTAAAGAAAAACTACTTGAAAACGAAGTCCAAACTTTTGACTGGTCGTGTAATTTATAGCCCAAGTCTGATCTAAGATGTTAGTTCTTACTGGGAGCTTGGCGTTGGGAGGTGTGTTTGCAGGAGTGTAAATGTTGAGGTAAAGGCAGTCCTCCGAAATCTCTGGGATATCTATTTTCACTCCTAGTTTAGAGTAAAGGTCTTCCAAGAGTGCTACGTTTTGAACACAACTGGATAAAAAGAAAGGTTTTGTTAGTTTTTTTCTGTGTAAAGTGGGCTACTGGAGTTTATTCATTACTTGCTCATAACAGGAGTCTTACATGGGAGGCTGTTTAGTTGCATCCTTCACTCCATTCCAGGCTTGGACAGGTCGAGGTGGAGCCAGTCTGAGCTTTGGGCCCACAGGTGGATAAGCAAATGGAACTCCTAAAAAGGCATGTACTCCAGACTCTTTGCCCTTTACTGGCACGTAGTGTCCTTTCAGGCCACCCAGAGCCGTTTGAACAGCAGGAGCTGTAAAGATATGATATGAACACTTTACTGTCATAAAATCAGTGACGTCAAATGGCAGTCCTCTGTCAAAAATACTTAAAGGATCCATATTACGCTACTTACAGTGGAGGAAATAAGTATTTGCTCCCTTGCTGATTTTGTAAGTTTGTATATTGACAAAGAAATGAACAGTATATAATTTTGATGGTTTTAACAGTGAGAGATAGAATATCAAAAAGAAAATCCAGAAAATAACTTTAAATAAAATGTATAAAAAGATTTGCATTTCAGTGAAATAAGTATTTGAACCTTCAGCCGAAAAAGACTTAGTACTTGGTGGCAAAACCCTTCTTTGCAAGTCAGAGGACAGACGTTTCTTGTAGTTGATGACCAGGTTTGCGCACATATCAGAAGGAAGTTTGGTCCACTCTTCTTTGCAGATCATCTTTAAATCATTAAGATTTTGTGGCTGTCGCTTGGTAACTCGTGTCAGCTCCCTCCAAAGGTTTTCTATAGGGTTAAGGTCGACAGACTGCTAGGCCACTCCATGACCTTAAAATGCTTCATCTTGAGCCACTCCTTCATTGCCACTCCTTCGTTGCCTTGGCTGTATGTTTTGGGTCACTGTCGTGTTGGAAGACCCATCCACAACCCATTTTCAGTTTCCTGGGGGAGGGAAGGAGGTTGTCACTCAGGATTTTAATGGTACATGCCTCCGTCCATCCTCCCGTTGACACGTTGAAGTTGTCCTTTGTCCTTGACAGAGAAACACCCTCAAAGCAGAATGTTTCCACCTCCATGCTTGACAGTGGGGATGGTGTTCTTGGGTTCATAGGCAGCATTTCTCTTTCTCCAAACACAGCAAGTTGAGTTAATGTCAGAGAGCTCGATTTTGATCTCATCTGATCACAGCACCTTCTATCAGTCTCTCTATAAATCATTCAAGTGTTCATTGGCAAACATCAGGCGGGACTCCACATGTTCCTCCTTAAACAGGGGAACCTTTGAGCACTGCAGGATTTTAATCCATTGCGGTGTAAAGTGTTACCAATGTTTTTTTTTTAGTGACTCCCAGCTGCCTTGAGATCATTGACTAGCTCCTGATGTGTAGTTCTAGGCTTCTCACTGTTCTCATGATCACTGAAACCCCACAAGGTGAGATCTTGTATGGAGCCCCAGACAGAGTTCGATTGACAGTCATTTTGTATTTCTTAAATTTTTGAACAGTTGAACCAACAGTTGTCTCCTTAACACCAGCTTCTTGCTTATGATTTTGTAGCCCATTCCAGCCTTGTGCAGGTCTACAGTCTCGTCCCTGACGTCCTTTAACAGCTCTTTGGTCTTTCCTACATTGGAGAGTTTGGAGTCTGATTGATTGACTGATTCTGTGGACAGGCGTCTTTTATACAGGTGACTAGTTAAAACAGGCGTCTAATTCAGGTGATGAGTTGATTAGAAGTATATAACAATACTTATGTCCTCCACTTTATGATGTATCCTCATGATAAACATACCTGGAGTTTTGTTTTGTTTTTCTGTCTGTCTCCATGGAGTTAGACAAGTTTAATGTCACACTGTGGAACCAAACAAAGCAATAGCAGATCCATGGACACAAACAGGTGGTGGGCCCTTTACCAAAATGTTACGCTCTTTGTGTCTCCAATTCTCTGTCTCTCTCCCTCTGTCTCTCTCTCTGACTCTCACTTTCTGTCTTTTTTTCTGTCTCTCTCTCTCCATCTCCATCTCTGTCTATCCTCTGCCTCTCTGTTTCTGTCTCTCTCTCTCATTGTCACTCTCTCTCTCTCTCTGGCTGTGTGTCTGCCTCTCTGTGTGTATGTGTTTCTCTCTCTCTGTGTGTCCCCGTCTCTCTGTCTCTCTTTATCTCTCTCTCTGTGTCTCTCTTTATCTCTGTCTGTGTGTCTTTCTCTTTCTCTCTCTCTGTGTGTGTCTTTCTTTCTGTCTCTCTTTCCATCTTTCTTTCTGTCTCTCTGTTTCCTTCTCTTTGTGTCTCTCTGTCTGCCTGTCTATCTCTGTTTCTCTTTCTCTCTCTATCTTTCATTCTGTCTCTGTTTCCCTCTCTGTCTTTCTCTCTTTCTGCCTCTGTCTCTGTCTCTGCACCACACTGTCTCTCTCTCTCTCTCTCTGTCCTGTCTCTCCTTTCCATATAAAATATATAAAACATATCTGCACGTTTTAAATGTTTTTTGAACGTGAATCGTAAGAAAAAGGACTAGTCAATAATCTATCAAAACAGAAAAGAAACAAAAAGTAGCTGGGAAACTGTGACCCACATATCCCCGCACCAGCAGCAACAGGAATTACGTAACTCTCTGTAGTGTAAATAACTGAAAGAAGAAACATATCCAAGGTTCTTAGATGCCGCTGAATGTACTCACCATGCTGGTTTACGTTGTCACCTTGTACATGTAAAAACAGCCCTAAAATTAAAGTTACTATGAAGTGTGTGGAGAGCGTCATGGTGCCTCTCCAAAAGTGCGAACCAGGAACGTGTCCCCGCATTTTAAGTGCCCAGTCCTTTTAAACTGGACAGGAGCGGGGGGGTCAGTGCCTCATATTATGCTGTATAAAGATCATAGATGATAAAGACCTTTATCTTTGCCCTACAAGCCTTTGACCATGCTTACTCTACTGTGTGAATGGTTAATGAGACAGAGATCAAAACGTAATAACGGGTTAAAGGGATTATATTACACTGTGTTACACTATTATATTACACTATTTTTGGATCTGATTCCTCATCACAGACATACCAGAGTTGTGTTTTGTTTCATTCACACATGTTTAAGCCCTGCATAATTGGGCTGAGTTCTTCTCTCAAAAAAACAAAACAAAAACAAAACACTGTGATGTTGAAAACAGGAAGTGCTCCACTGTGTTTTAAAACTCCACATGGCTTCACTTGAATTATCTGGATAATTACAACCCTGGAATTGCCAATCTCTAGTAAACAAAGGGTGAAAGTAGCTGTTAACTTGAAGACTACCGCTTCATGACATCACAAGGTGGAACAGAGCGTTTTGAGCTTTGGAGATGTAGACAGAGGAAATGTTTTACTCAAACATGTGTGAGTAAAACAGAACACAATTACAAGTAGGCCTATGCAGCCGGTGCGACGCACTGGGGCCCATGGCACTTTGAGGGCCCATCGTAGGCTAGGACTGAGTGTGTAAGAGCAAGTGAGCAAGTTTTGTTAGTTGTTAGTGATGGAATCCCCTAGTGTTATGTCGCAATTTTCCAACCAAGAAGTAAAATGTTAAACCTAAAAAATTTCCAAATTGGGAGAGCGACTATGAGTGTTGCTACAAAAATCTTATATGTAATGATCTTAAATGTGTTTTACTAAAATGAGAAGTCTAAGCTGACATAGGCACTTTAACTGCTCATAATGTAACAATTGCGCCCCCTTCAGATCAGAAGAAGTCAATGTGGGAAAAAAATCTGATCTGGTTGGTCTTGAAATTGAATGACCTGAATTGAAATACCTTGAAACGCAGTTCAGAGATTTTATAAAGCAGACTACCGTTCTAAAGGAAATAATATTACAACCCTTGACACTAGCGCTTAAATAAACACTACGTACAAGATTAACAAAAATATTACATTTATTATTATTTTCACAGTTTTCAGTGCTTGGTAGTCCACAAGGGTTAAGTTGGTCTTCCATGATTGTTCAGTTTGTTAACTCTTAAAGGTGCATTGTGTAACTTTTGTGGTGAAGGGTCCATCAAACAGTTTACTCCATGGAGATGTTATTACTTTGTCTGGAATGTTTCACAGTATGAGATTAAACCTTTCTATCATAATGGAAACCAAACCAAACCAAGTTACAGGTCAGATCTATGGAGAGGCACAGTCAGAATGCCTGTTTTTCTAGGTATTTTTAAGTTATAAAACTATAAAATTTGCTAAATTCCAGGCAGAGCAATGACATATCCATAGAAACAAGCAGGTGACGGACCCCCAAACAAAAAGTCACATAGTGCAGCTTTAAGTTCAGAGTTTGATCATGACAGTGTTATAAAAGTTTCATTAAGTGATTTTAATTTTTAATGTATTATTTCTGCAGACTGTGGCCAGTTACTCTATAACTCTATGTGCTCTGTCTTCTCGAGCTCCTCCAACATTTTTGGAAGAGTCTGAGTCATGAACACAAAGTGGTCCTTCCTCAGCCCCTGACGGACCACCTGCTCAGAGTCAATAAACAGGTAGTTCTCCTCTTTTCCATACTGTGGCCAATGCACCAGGCCTTTCCCATTTGGAGACCTACAAAACAAACAGAGTGACCAAGTCTGTATAAAAAATGCCCTTGTATTCATAGATGTATTTTACATTTACCCAGTGTAAGCAAAGTTTGCCCAGTATCTCATAACACTTCGGTTGAGATCTTCCTCCTCTTTTGAGCATTCTTCTGCAGAAACAAAGGGAATTGTTTTAGCTAAAAATATAGTACCAACAAGTGGACAATCAACCAGACCAGTTTGGAGTTTTCAGAATGAAAATGTAAAGGTCTTATATTATGCAAAAGTTTACTCCTGTGAGCTTTAAGCCATGTTATAACATCAAAAACATAGCTGGTGTTGTGTTTAGTTTCATTTATATACGTTTGAGTAATCCTGCATTATTACTCCATCTACATCACTAAAGCTTAAAATACTCTGTTCCACCTTGTGATGTCATGTACTGGTAGTTTTCAAAATAGTAACTCCTTTTACCTTTAGTTCAATATAGATTGGCAATTCCAGGGCTGAAATCATCCAAATGATTCTAGTGAAGGTGTATAACATTTAAAAACACAGTGGAGCACTTCCTGTATGACCACATGACATCACAAAGTGGAGTGTTGACAGAAGAACTCAGCATAAATATTCAGGGTTTGTGTGTTAAACGTGTGCGAATGAAACAAAACACAACTCGAGGTCTGTTTGTAATGAGGAAACAACACAGATAAAAAATAGTGTAATATGGGCCTTTTAATAAGACTGTCAATCTTACCTGTTAGTTTGACATGAGTAGTTGTAAAGCAGAGTCCAAACACAGAAAAAATGTCATCTCCATGATCTGCTCCGACAAACTCTGGCCTCAATTTCTTCAGCATCCGAGGGGTAAAGTTGTATTCATAAACGTACACAGGAGCTCCTACGTCTGGATATGAAAGAACAATAACATTTCTTATTCTGAATATAATCCTTATAAATATAAAACAACACACACTTTCCACGAGAGCTGTAAACCTTTAGTCCATTAATCAGTTGCAGTTCAGGTTGCCGGTCTGCTACCATGGAGATGCTACTGCCTTTGCCTGTCATGTTCCACAATATGGTATTAAAATGATGTAAGCTGTAATTTATTCAATGATGGGAGTTTTTATTGTTCAAAAATGCCTTTAAACACAAATGCACGATGGATATGTTCATAATCCCATACTGGGCCATTCCAGACAAAACAATAACATCTCATGGAGAGACAAGCAGGTGGTGAACCATCCACATGAAAAGTTACATAGTGCATATTTAAAGTGTGTATGACAGGTTTTGGTGATTAATAGTCTTACACCAACAAAAAGGAAAGTGAGAAGAAAAGTTAAAAAAAAAAATGTATGGGAGACACTGAGAAGAATTCTATACAAAAATCTGGCACAATTTATTCTTACCTGTAACTTTTCTGATGGAGGTCTGGATGGATGATTTCAACAAAATAAAGGTGTTTTCTGATGTTTAATTGTTAGATAATAATTTCTATGTACATTAGAGGAGTTTTGGCGTGATTTCATGATTTCCAATCAGTAAGTAAAATTTGAAAACAAAAAAATGGCCAAACTGGAGAACAAAAATCATAGATATAATGATCTTAACTGTGTTCCAGTCAAATTTATAGTCCAACCTGTCTAACCTGTCATATTTGCACAGCTCTTGTTTGCTTTTATTTTGCATTGTCCATTGTTTTTTGCAATGTTGATAAAGCAACAACACAAAATATCAACATAGTTTTATGCAAATGTCAAACCTGTATGAGCGTTTATGGTTTTCACTGCAGGAACGTTGAAAAGAAAATCTCCAACCATATCAGTAAAGGCCTTCCGGAGTATTTTAGGGTCCTCACTTTTTCCAGTGAATTCGTCTATCATCAAATTCAGTGCTTCATCTTTATGCTTTCAATAAAAACATATTGTTAGAGCAATGTCAGATTGGAAGATCGTGTAGGATATGGATGTAATCTCACTTCAGCGGTGTAAAAGAGAGACAGTGCGCCTTTCACTTCATCTCGTGTCATTCCCTCTGTCCAGTTTGGAGGCGCCATAAACTGTGAAAACAATGGAGAATTCAGATAGAGGTGTGGTACATCCTTAAAGGGCCCATATTACATATTATTGTATTGTTGTTTACTCATCAAAAAGAGTTTTGGTAAGCCTTTACTATTAGTTTGTCTACATCTCCAAAGATCAAAATCTCTGTCCCAACTTGTCATTTGGTGGTAGTTTTTAAGTTACAGCTCCTTTTATCTTTAGATCTTTCTTTCTACAGATTGCTAATTCCAGGGCCTTCCAGAGGAGTTTAAAAACATAGTGGAGCATTTCTTGCATGACATCACAAGGTGGATCAGAGTGAGAGAAGAACTCAGCCTAAATATGCAGGGTTTGTGTGTTAAACGTGTGAATGAAACAAAACACAACTCCAGGTCTGTTTATGATGAGGAAACAGCATTATAACATAGATCAAAAATAGCATAATATGGGCCCTTTAAAATCAAATATTTGAAATTACTTACACTGGGGAGTAACCAGCCACCTTCATCACTTGTTATTCCGGTCATAAAAGGAACTTTTTGGAACTCATGGTTACGAAACAATTCATTCACAGGTTTGGTCAAGAAAAGGCCATCAATAGTTAAAGTAATGATCAATTCCCTCACCTACATAAGAGAGGTAAAAAACACAGGTGAAAAGATGTACATAGACTGTATATGAATGGACAGAGCTGACACGTGAGCCGCTATGTTCCAAATAGGAAGTGCTTCAGGAGGCTCTTCTGGCTCCTTCTGACCCTGGCTCCAACTGACATACACTGGGATCTTTTCGTCCCTCTCTCTGTAACTGCTGCTGTGAGCCTCGTCATTTGGGTCTTAAAATGTTTGCATTAACCTGCTCTACATGATTCAAAATTTCACAGTTTTATCCCTAAATCAAGATATGAACATAAATAATGCACCAATCATATGCCTTCATTCCCTGAAGTCCCTCCCGCAAGCGTGAGCAACAGGTGAGAAGGCACATTTAAGAACCTCTATCATGACTGGCTCTTGTGGTTGATACTCGTGGTCAGATTTCTAAATATCCCAAATTAGGAGCCTGGCAACAGTTACAGGAGCAAATTTGGAGCCTCATTTGAGCGGCGCTGAACGCTGTGACATCACATTCGCTTAGTCCACTTCTTTATACACTCTATGATGATGTAACAATGTTAAAGGTGCACTATGTAACTTTTCGGTAGTTAAGCCCGTCACCATCTTGTTTCTATGGATATGTCATTTGCTCTGTCTGGAATGTTCCACAGTATGACATTAAACAGCTCTACCTTACATTTATTCAATTCCAGGAGGTTTTATAGCTCAAAAATACCTAGAAAAACAGGCATTCCGACAGTAAGTAAGATTTAATGCCATACTTGTGAAACATTCCAGACAAAGCAATAACATCTCCACGGAGATAAGCGCTTGACGGACCTTACACAAGTTACACAATGCACTTTTAATAATAATAATAATAATAATAATAATAATAATGGGCTGTAGAATCTTACCTCTGCTAGTGCCACTATTTTTTGTAGATCAAGGTTTCTCATGCAGTTACTAATAATTTCAGGACTTTCAAGGCTGCAGCCAGACATGTTTGCTGCCGTCTAGAAAAAGTTCAAAAATATTAAAAGTTGTACATACTGTATTTTTGTCTTAAGGGACACTGATTACATATTTCAATTAGACATTAAACATACATTTACTTCAATAGATTTTTCATGTAATACTTTTACTTTACGTAGTGTTGAAAGTATAGAGTATTTTTTTGCTCTGTACTTTTACTTAAGTAACAACATTCCATACTTCTTCAACCACTGTCTGCCATTTTAATTCAAGGATATACTGACCTTTGCTATGCTGAGGGGGTCTGATATTAGAGTTTCAAAGAGTGCGGCTGTGCCACTCTCTGCAATTCCCCGGTGGAACAGTCCATTTGACAGAGGTGAGAGATACTGTTAAAACAACCATAGACATTAAGACATATTCAAAGAGACATAATTCAAAATATCATCGATAATTACTAATGTTGTGGCCATACCGGCTTGTCAAAACCTGATCTCGTCAGATCTCAGAAGCTAAACAAGACCGGGCCTGGTTAGTACTTGGATGGGAGAACACTGGGAATTCCAGGTGCCACAGGGGGGCGCCAGTGGCAAAAAATGTCATTGTGTTCATAGGCAAAGCACTTCACTCACATTGCCTAGTATGAAAGTGCTGTGTGTGTGAGTGATGGTGGTGGTCGGAGGGGCCGATGATGCAGATTGGCAGCCTCGCTTCCGTCAGTCTGCCCCAGGGCATCTGTGGCTATAGGAGTAGCTTACTACCACTGAGTGTTGAGTAAATGAATAATGAACTGTAAAGTGCTTTGGGTATCTTGAAAGGCGCAAAATAAATGCAATGATTACTTAATAATAATTAAAAATAACTATATCGACTCACTGTTCAATACATGGAAGCTGGAACAATAGTTTTGAGTCAATATTTATCGTGTGTACATTTTCTTAGCATTATTGGGAATTTTTTGGGTTATTTTTAAACTTTATGATAGGATTTAAGACATAAAAGGTTCTGAATGCATCGCAACATCCTATAGGCCAATTATATGTAATACAGATGGGGGCAGCTAAAATTGATATTGTTAAAATGTAGATTTCTGTTGTAATATAGTGAGTTCATGGGTCTAGTGAATAATAAAAATGAAATCAGGTTTAACAATTGTGCATTTGTACCAAATAATACTATGACACACAAAGTACACATATTAGTTATTTGCTTCTCTGGTAATACGTGTATCAGTGAAAAACTGTAGAGGGCTCTGCTTTTCTGTAAGAATTTGTCCAGTAAAAATTAAAAATCTGGATTTTTCCTTTGTCAGAAATGCTTGGTGTCTATTAGAACCTCTTTTTAAATTAACAAATAAGATAAAATACAATTGTAAATGTTTTTAAGATGGGCTCTGATATAACTCACATGTATCATAAGGGTTTCATTTGCCAAATTTCCCTGGATTTTTCATATTTTGTGATATTCTGAGGTTAATCCAGATTTTCCCATTGAAAACACATTATGTTCAGTTTCACTTTTGCCTCCAGCTGCCTCCATTCTGGAATTTAAAATGTTTTTGTTTACATATTACAAAATCATACATACATCTATATTGAACCCCAAAATATATCATCTAGCTTTCAGATATCAAATAATAACTTGATATAGTAAATATCACAACGGGCCTAGTTTATGTGAATATCTTACCAGAAGAGACACACTCATGCCTCCAGCAGACTCCCCAAATATCGTGACTTGATCTGGGTTCCCACCAAAGTTGTGGATGTGCTGCTGCACCCACTTCAGAGCCTCTACTTGATCCAAAAGGCCATAGTTTCCAGCCATGTCTTTCTCTCCAGTGCTGAAACAAATAAGAGATTTCATCACAAAAGTTTAAAGGTCCTGACTCTTGTGAACTTTAAGCCATGTTACCTCCTCAAAAGCATACCCAGAATCGTGTTTTGTTTCATTCACACACATGTTTGAGTAATCCTGTATTATTAGTCTGTCTACGTCTCAAACTCAAACAACTACCTTTTACATTTTGTTTAGTAGATATTGGCATTTCTAGGGCTGAAATTATCCAAATGATTCAAATGATAGTGTATGGAGTTTAAAAACACAGTGGAGCACTTCCTGTATTACTACATGGCACCCCAAAGTGGGCAGGGTGTTTTCTGTTGTGGCAGAAGAACTCATGTGAATAAAACAAAACACAACTCTGGGTATGTCTTTGATGAGGAAACATTAAAACATAGATCAGAAAATAGTGTAATATGGGCTCTTTAAGGTTTAGGTATGAAGAGAAAACAAAGACTCAAAACAATTAGCCCCAACGTTTTACCTGAGAAATCCCAGAATTCCTAAACGATACTGTATCCCCACCACCACCACATCTTCATACGCAGACAAGGCAGAACCATCATAAGAAGAAGCTGCTCCTATGGTGAAGCCTCCTCCATGAATCCAAACCATAACCTGTGAATAACAATAATAATAACTGTTAAGTTCGCTTATATATTAAAAATCATTCTCACACACTACGAGTCAAAGGTTTGGACACTTTTATTTCGGACATGTTTCCTCTTTGAACACAACTCTGGTGACAACTCTGACACAACTCTGGTGAGAAGGACGAGGTGAAGAGGGTACAGCAACAGGCAGAGTCAAGAAGTGTACAGGAAGAGGCAAGAGGACAACACCAGGGATGTGTGGAAGGGTTTCAACATAAAAAACAAAGCAGCAGGACCAGATAGGTCGCATTTTAGTCATTTTTCTGGCATTCCCATCTCTTCACCTCTCAGATCCCAATCCACACCTCACCACAGACCACTCAGACGTCCATTCATCAGCCCATCTCTGCTTTCACATCTACCCCCATCCCCAAGGAGGAACCCAGCCCAGTGTCTTTGTCACCTGCCCAGGGGAGAAGACAGCTGGATAAAGTTCACCAAAGCAACTCTCCCGGATTAATTTTGGTCTTAACATGTTCGTATTAACCTATTCTACATGATCCTGGTGTTTTTATTGAGCTATTTGGCCTTAAATAAATCCTTATTCGTAATATCGGGCTCAGCTCCAATTTCGCCCCTATAACTGCTAGCATCATGAGTGTCATTTGCTTGCAGCAATTTAGGAGTAAACCTAAAAAACAAAAAACTACTTAGAAAAAGAAGTCCAAACTTTTGACTGGTCATGTAATTTATAGCCCAAGTCTGATCTAAGATGTTAGTTCTTACTGGGAGCTTGGCATCGGGAGGTGTGTTTGCAGGAGTGTAAATGTTGAGGTAAAGGCAGTCCTCCGAAATCCCTGGGACGTCTACTTTCATTCCCAGTCTAGTGTAAAGGTCTCCCAAGACTGTTACATCCTGAACACACCTGGATAAAAAGAAGGATTTTGTTTGTTTTTTCTGTGTAAAGTGGGCTACTGGAGTTTATTCACTACTTGCTCATAACAGGAGTCTTACATGGGAGGCTGTTCAGTTGCATCCTTCACTCCATTCCAGGCTTGGACAGGTCGAGGTGGAGCCAGTCTGAGCTCTGGGCCCACAGGTGGATAAGCAAATGGAACTCCTAAAAAGGCATGAACTCCAGACTCTTTGCCCTTTACTGGCACGTGGATTCCTTTCAGGCCACCCAGAGCCGTTTGAACAACAGGAGCTGTAAAGATATTATATGAACACTTTATTGTAATAAAATCAATGACATCAAATGACAGTCTGTCAAATACTTAAAGGATCCATATTACGCTATTTTCTGATCAATGTTATAATGCTGTTTCCTCATGACAAACATACCTGGAGTTTTGTTTGGTTTATTCACATATTTAATACAAACCCTGCATATTTAGGGTGAGGTTTTCTCTCAAACAGAAAATGCTCTGTTCCACCTTGTGATGTCATGTGGTAATAAAGGAAGTGCTCCATTGTGTTTTTAAACTCCATTCACCTTTACTAGACTTATTTGGATAATTTTAGAGGCTGAATTGACAGTCTTTGATGTACTGTAAAAAATCGAGGAAGGTGACATTGTCCAGTATGGCGCAGTCAGGCCCCCACCCTGCAGCCAGGCCGAATGTGAACATCTGGTGGCCGAGCCTTTGCCCACAGGGCTCGGGCGGGTTCAGTCCAAAATGAAAACATTGGTCCACCTTTCTGTGGGCTCACCCTCAGAGCGATTCAGAAGGTTCGGGTGCACAGAGGACTGAGTGGCAGTCAAGTAGAGGAGTTCAAGTACCTTGGGGTCTTGTTCACAAGTGAAGGGAGGATGGAGCGTGAGATTGACAGGCAGATTAGTGCAGCATTGGCAGTGATGCAGTTGTTGTATTGGACTGTTGTGGTAATGAAGGAGCTGAACCAAAAGGCAAAGCTCTCGATTTACTGGTCAATCTACATTCCTACCCTCACCTATGGTCAGCAGCTTTTCCTCCGCAGGGTGGCTGGGCACTCCCTTAGAGATGGGGTGAGAAGCTCAGTCACACGTGAGGTGCTCGGAGTAGAGCCGCTGCTCCTCCACGTCGAGAGGAGCAGCTGAGGTGGTTCAGGCAGCTGTTCCAGATGCGTCCTGGGAGGAGGTCCCGGGGAAGACCCAGGACATGCTGGAGGGACTATGTCTCTGGGCTGGCCTGGGAACACCTCGAGATCCAATCGGAAGAGCTGGAGGAAGTATGTGTGGAGAGAGAAGTCTGGGCCTCCCTGCTCAGACTACTGCCCCCGTGACCCAGCCCAGGATAAAGTGGAAGAAAATGGATGGATGGAATTGACATTCTCTACTGAACAAACGGTAAAAGGTTGCTGTTAACTTGAAAACTACTTCATGATTTCACAAGGTGGAACATGGAGAGATGTGGAACATTCCAAACAAAGCAATAGCAGATCCATGGAGACAAACAGAAGGTGGGCCCTTTACCAAAAAGTTATGCTCTAAGTGTCTCTCTCTTTCTCTCTCTCTGTATGTGTGTCTTTTTTCTGATTCCCTGTTTGTTTCTCTTTCTCTGTCTATCTGCCTCTCTGTTTCTGTCTTTCTTTCTATCTGCATCTCTCTCTGTGTGTGTGTGTGTCTTTCTCTCTCTCTCCTTTCCACATAAAATATACAAACCATATCCGCATTTTTTAAATGTTTTTTGAACGTGAACTGTAAGAAAATTGATCGAAAAAACTATGAAGTAGCTGGGAAACTGTGACCCACATATCCCCGCACCAGCAGCAACAAGAATTACGTAACTCTCTGTAGTGTAAACAAAAAAGAAACAAAAGAAGAAACATATCCAAGATTCTTAGATGCAGAAGACCGCTGAATGTACTCACCATGCTGGTTTGCGCTGTCACCTTGTGCATGTAAAAACAGCCCTAAAATTAAAGTTACTATGAAGTGTGTGCGGAGCGTCATGTTGCCTCTCCAAAAGCTCAGGACAGGAAGGCTGTTCACTAAACCTTCCCCTCTTTTTAAGCGCAGATCCGTTACAACAGGACAGGTGGGAGGGGTCTGTGGCTCGTATTGTGACCTTTATCTTTGCCTTACGAGCCTTTGACCGCACTTTACTATGTGGATGGTTATTGAAACAGAGATTAGAGCGTAGGTAACAGGTTAAAGGGACTATATTACACTATTTTGTGTTATGTTTTATTCACACGTTTAACACACAAGCCCTGCGCGCTTGCACAGGGGTCTTGCGCAACTACGCTACTGAACACAACGTAATTTTTCTGATATAAACTCGTCACTTGCCTGTCTCCGTGTGTATATGTTATTGCTTTGCCAGGAATGTTCAGCAGTATGGGCTTTAACTTACCCACTGATACTTTGAAGTGACAACGCCTGGGGTCCATATGAAATCAGCTGCACTCCCCCCATGAACCATCTCAGATTTGGCTGAAAAAAAATCTAAAAATTTCTAAAATCACCAAATGAAAGAATCTCAAATTTTAGCTCAATCTCTTGAGTCGTTCCTGAGTTATGGCCTGTTGAAATTTTGGGGCCATGCTCACTTTTTCTGAAGCCTTAATTTATAAGCATGTTTGAGAGACCACAACTTCATAAAAAATAGAGCTAGGAAGTTGAAAATGTGTATTATTGTAGATTCTTGGTTATAGATTCTGAATCTGTATCTTAATTAAGTGTGGGCCCCCAAAATCTCACATTCGTTTTTTTTGGTCAATTTTTTATTTTATTTTTTTTTTTTTTGAGGTCCAAGATCTATTTATTTCAAGCAGATATATACAAACTAACTCTTGAACCTGAATATTTGAGAGAATGACCATTTCTGACAACAATCTCACACTTTTCTGAGCTTTCATATGGATGGTGTACAGTCCCAAATATAGTCACAGACCAAATGTGATCTTTTTGGCCCTTTCTTTGGTCCCACAGTTCCCCATGTGGACACCATTAGATGCTGATTTAAAAAATATATAAAAAAAATCAGCTTCAGCTTGCTCTGTTTTTATGAAGTTATGATCTCTCAAACATGCTTATAAATTAAGACTTCAGAAAAAGTGAGCATGGCCCCAAAATTTCAACAGGCCATAACTCAGGAACGACTGAAGGGATTGAGCTAAAACTTGAGATTCTTTCATTTGCTGAATTTAGAAATTTTTTGAATTTTTTTCAGCCAAATCCAACCAAATTTGGTTTTCCTTGAAGACGCCTGATTTCATACAGACTGACCCATGCATATCTATGATGGAATGTTCAGCAGTTACCATGGTGACATTGACAAATGGTGTCAAAAAGTCTGAAAACTTTAAGAACAGAAAAATTACAAAATGCATTTTAATGAGTGTTCATGGTCAGCTCTTTCTTTTCAGATTGTGTTAAAACAAAAACTCAGATTAAAGTTTAACTTGAGTAACAACTTCAGACAGTAGTACCTCCAGTTAGCAGTTAGTTGTAATTCCATTCAGAATCACTGGTCTGCACTTTGAAAATGGCAATAACTTTATAAACGTTTTCTCAGCTCATTTTCTCAGGTATTTTATGAATTTACTGAAATTTTATTGTGTTTTTGGTGTATTTCTTGTGAGGACTCGTGCGGTCCTTATGTACACAGCTTTCAGAATGATTTGGCTTTGATCGTCTAGTTTACATGTTCTGCTTTTAATGCCACTAGCCTAGTCTAAATTTGGTCCATTGAACTGCTCACTTCAAACTTCAGGGAGTTTTGAGCTTAAGTGTGGTTTAATTATTGTTTATAACTCATCTATACCAAAGTCACAGTCCAGTTTTCAATGTTTGTTCCAATTGTGGCAGCATCCTGGTGTTTGGGGGAGAAAAAAAAAACAAGTATCCACAGATCTAGCTGCTCTGAATGAAATTTAAATACCTTGAAAAGCAGTTCAGAGATTTTATAAAGCAGACTACCATTCTAAAGGAATTCATACTGCAAACCTTCACACTGTTTGAATAAAAGTAAAGTAAAACAACACATACAAGATTAACAAAAATATAAAATTTATTATTTTTGTTAACTACACTGAAAAAACGGTCCGAGAGGGGTTGCTCAAATTGCAAAAACAAATTTGACAACAATAACATCACTTTTTTACGTTTCTCTGTCAACCATGTTTAAATCTTACAAACATCGCTTGATTGTGGCCGATGTGAGACCTGCATGTTTTAATCAGGTTGAGGAAACATGACTTTATTATAATTTCTGGTGAGGCTCCTCCCTCTGGAATTCTCCTCCCCAAAACTTTTGGAGGGAAAATTCAAATGTAACAGGACACAGGACAGATACAAGAGCAGAGGACACACAGTGTGGAGCAGGAGGATTATGAAGTTGATCTGGAGGTAAGACTTTTCAAAGATTTTATTATGTGCTTCTCCGGCCTAGAATGTCGTCATTGTTAAAACATGTTTGTGGTGTTTTATTTGAAATTAGAGTTAATGTAAGGACAGCTTGAAACATCTACAAGAGTGTGACACTTGTACTAAGATTTGAATGTGTTGCTTCCAGAGTCGTCTACAAAGAGTGACGTCCAGAGCTTTGCTGGAGCTGTGGGGAAGTTCATGAATGTTATAGTTGATGTTTCAGAAAAAAAGGAAGATGTTTGAGAACCAACAAAAACACAGAGCACAGATGAACAAAGTAAGTAAACCAACTAAAATTATTTTAAAATTTTTCAAAATGAACTTCCTATTGAAACTGTTATCGTGTTTCTACAAGGTGATGTGGCATTAGGAGACTTTATACCAGATGCCCTCCCTGTTACTGTGTTTAGAGGAAGAAAAGCAGCACATGGTGAGTTTTGTTTCTGCAGATACACTTCTAATGTTCTTGTGATTCTGTTCTGGTCCATTATTGTAGTAATAAGTGCTTTAAGTGTATTTAAACATGTAGAACAGAGTAGATCATCAGAATGTGATCATCATGTGTTATTCGTGTGTCCACAGGCAGAGACCAGAGCTTCTTCACTGGAATAAATCTTCACACTGTCCAGCTCCAAACTGTGTGTCTCTGTCCCTGTGCTCTCTTTGTGTTTGATTCTGTTTAAGACAATACAGAACTGTGGAAAACTAAAGACTGTTTTTGTATTCTTTTACAGAATTAGATCAATTAAATTACATTATACATACTTATACATTTCATGATAAGGTACCATAAGATAAATATGCATATTCAGCATGATTTGTTCAAATTTCATCAACATGAAAAAGTGATGTTCATGTTCCGAGAAAAATATGTGTAGAGGGGTTCGAAAAAAGTTTCAAAGCCTAAACATAATTTTATTGCGTGCAACCGCTGTCCATAACTTTTTTACGCAAATCCAGCAACCTTTTTTTTTCAGTGTAAGTCACAGTTTTCAGTGCTTGGTAGTCCACAAGGGTTAATTTGGTCTTCTATGATTATTCAGTTTTCTAACACTTAATGGTGCATTGTGTAACTTTTGTGGTGAAGGGTCCATCAAACATGTTTTTCTCCATGGAGATGTTATTGCTTTGTCTGGAATGTTTCATAGTATGGGATTAAACATTTTATCATAATGGAAACTAAACCAGACCAAGTTACAGTATTTTTGAGCTATAAAACTACAAAATTTGCTAAATGTAAGGTAAAGCTGTTAAATATCATACTGTGGAACATTCCAGGCAGAGCAATGACATGTCCACAGAAACAAGCAGGTGACGGACCCTCAGCAAAAAAGTCACATGAGTCATAGTGCAGCTCAGTTCAGTGTTTAGTGTTTGATCATGACAGTGTTATAAAAGTCCCATTAAGTGATTAAAATTTTTAATGTATTATTTCTGCAGATTGTGGCCAGTTGCTCTATAACTCTATGTGCTCTGTCTTCTCGAGCTCCTCCAACATTTTTGGAAGAGTCTGAGTCAAGAACACAACGTGGTCCTTCCTCAGCCCCTGACGGACCACCTGCTCAGAGTCAATAAACAGGTAGTTCTCCTCTTTTCCATACTGTGGCCAATGCACCAGGCCTTTCCCATTTGGAGACCTACAAAACAAACAGAGTGACCAAGTCTGTATAAAAAAATGCCCTTGTATTTGTAGTTGTATTTCACATTTACCCAGTGTAAGCAAAGTTTGCCCAGTATCTCATGACTCTTCGGTTGAGCTCTTCCTCCTCTTTTGAGCATTCTTCTGCAGAAACAAAGGGAATTGTTTTAGCCAAAAATATAGTATTTATAATATAGCATTTGTGTGTTAAACATGTGTGAATGAAACAAAACACAACTCCAGCAGTGGCGGCTGGTGGTATAATTGGCAAAATTATAAATATATATTATAAATATTTGTATTATATATAGGCTATTTAACAAATGCCAGAAACAGTGAGTCTTTTGGTCACTATTGGCTAAACTATATCAGAGTGCAATGCAGCCAAGCGCAAAGTTTACAAAGTTTATGCAGCAGCACAACCTGATCCACCACTCACACCCAACCCCAAGAACACAACGTTACACACATCTCACACCCAGCCTCAGGAACACAATGTAACACATCTCTCATACCCAACTACAAGAACAAAAGGTAGTCCCCAATTTACACCAATGCATAACAGCGTGAAAACTCATCAGCACACGAGCAGGTTTGGCTTTCTATTTTAATCGGTGGGATAATTTACCCCAACAGTGTCATGCACGCATCTAACATCCATCATGATGCTGCGCGCTGCTCAAGGTTGGAGTTCTAATTTTACAGCCTCATCAGAGCATCTCCAGGCTTTTTAGCAGAAGAAAGATAGGAAATGGGAACGTGGTGTCAACATAAACTGTTGTTCATTAGCCTTAACATGCTGCCAGGGCAGAGTTGGGGCTGGGCAGGACAGAGCGAGCACGCTGAGTCACAAAAGGCCAGAAGTGTGTGATAATGTTTATAAAGACCAATCACTTGATTTCAGGTTGCTCCCATTCTGCGCCCCCAAAACATATTTCAGAGCTGCAATGTAGAAGCAACGCAATGATGTAAAATTTTGTCAAAACTTCAGGCTCTCCCATAGATCTCCA